CCCCCCCCTCCTTTTTTTCCTTTGAACAACTTTTTGAAAAGTAACACTTCTACCGAGTAAAATGCCCTCCTGCTGCCTCCAGCTCTGGGAGAGGATTAACTCTCCTTACCTCCAAGAAAGAGACTGGATGGTTTTGTGCCCCCTGCCACGGCTTGAGGTTGGGTTTCTGCTCGGCCGGGGTGTCAGCGGGTGAAGAGACTTGGGCGGGAGGGGGGTGATCTCACTGAGAAACTTCTGGTTCAGGTTTACTAGCTGGAATTTGGAGACTTTTAAATTCTGCAGCAATGACATCAGGACGTGACTGAGAGCCCTTCAGAGGCTCTAAAAGCTGCGCGGTGGTGACGTTATTGGCTTTTTATAATGGTTGACAGTTATTACAGCAAATATGCTTATTCATCCTGTGCAGGCGTGATTTATACTTCTACCACTTTTATGTGGCTTTCTGTTGTCCCTCTTTTAGCTCGCGAAGGAAGTAATACTGCAACGCGTGTTTCAGTCCCCTAAAGTCTTTTAATCTAAAATAATTGTATTTGTTTGTCTAATGTAATAACTCGCCATAACTTTTAGGTTTTAATGTGACCACAGTAATGTAGAGTACTCAGGCAAAAAAATTTTATTTTTTTCTGTTTTATGGTTATGACCAATCACATCGGTGATCAGTCTGGATACACGTGTTACAAAAATTAAGGGACTTCTAAGCAAGAAGGATTGGGTGAGAGAGGAAGTCCAGGCCCTCAGGTAATGTGTGACTAAACACCATCCCCTGCCAAGATAACTCCTCTATCTTGTCAGGATTTCCACAAGTACTGCCAGAAAAGTATTCCGTCTGAGAATTACTCTCCATCGTCACGTGTGCGGATTGCCTGACAGCGGTAGCACTATCATCCTGCTTGGCCGGGTAATTTGGAGTTACCTGCAGGGATTGCCAGCTGCTGTGCAGCTGGGTTTCTGGGCTTGCTTTTAATAGGTGGGGTATTGCCTTCAGGAAGTCTTTTAAAAGGTGCTTTCATTTCTCGAGAATGCGGTTTCTGCGTTTGTTTTCCTTTCTTACTTTATCAGTACGGAAATTTGCAGTAGGAGAAGGGACTCCCTTGTTGCTGGAAGCACGGTCTTGTGTCTGGAGCCGGGCAGTCGCGCGTTCCCCCGTGGACTGCAGGCAGCCCGCAGCCTTTGGGAGATGCAGCTGGTTCCTGTTGCTCAGCCAGGATGGTGGCAGTTCCCTTCCTTGGGGACAGGTGGGACTTGGGTGCTGCCCAAGCTGCGGTGGGCTGGGCTGGCTTTCCCTGGATGCTCCGAGCACGGTCACCCAGCATCCAGACCTGTTCCGCTGATTGCTCGAGTCCGGCTCAGAAGAAGAGCATGTATATCTGAGACATGGGAATAATTCCCCCAAGAGCCAGTTCTGCTGTCTTGGTAGTAATGTCTTTTTTCCGTAAGTGTAGAAATGCTGCTGTGCACAGAACTGTACATCGAACTCATGTAGTACTGTACATCAAATTCATGTGTCCCCTGAATGAGAGTGATTTTACTTGTTTAATTAACACGTGCCAGTTCATCTCTTGGATACCTTCATTACTGTGTTTGTACAGCGCCCAGCTCAGCAGGACTCAGCCTGGCTGAGACATGCAGAAGGTCCTGCAGTGTAAATACAAAGTGCTGATGCGAGGCACTTAAGGCATAGTTTCTCCTTTAGAGTACAGAAGGAATTTAAGAGATTTTTCCAAAATCACATATTTAAATGCATAAGTAAGCCTTTGTTGCATTTACAAAAGGCAGCGTATTTCCCGAAACTTGAACTTTTGACTGTGAGTGTGTGTTTAGCTGGTAAAAGTAAAGCCTTGGTTATATCCATGCGTAGCGACCAGCAAAAGTAACCGCTGACCCCCAGTCATTGCTGTATCTGAGCTTTTAAAGCTACTGCTGGCAAATGGGCTTTCCCTGTGGGAACATCATTTGGTTGTATGGATGTCCCCTTAGTTCATTGGGAAATAAAGCCAGACTTTCCATTTCAATCTTGACATCTCATATTTTTCATAAAATTCTATTAATATTTAAATCGATCTTAAATTACCTCACAAGAAGTAGTACGGGGGAAAAAAGAGGGGTTTGTTTGTTTTTAATCCTGTGCTGATAGCTTATGTAGCAGTCCTGAGCTGTTTCCTGAACAAGATTAGTTTTAGTTTCTGATACCAGTAATGTTGATGTCTAATCTGAGAAATAGCTTCTTACCTCCTACTCTGCTAAATTAAATTGACCGGAATCCCAATAATCATGAAAATACTTTTAAAGAAATACCAAAGGTGCATAGAATACTATAGCAAGTTATTGTTGGATTTTCTACACGTGAAGTTTATTTCAATGAGTGTGGCTAATATATGACATAAGCTACAAAATAAAGTATGAGAAGGTAAAAATGAATATTATGAAGGAATTACTTAACAAAATGGATGAAATTTTGTGAGGTACAATGTGTTTGAATGAATGAATTTGAACTGATGTAGATGCCACTAGATCTCTTCAAAGAATTGCAGTGTAAGAACTTACCAGAAATAGCAAACCCTCTCAGTATTTTTCTGTGATTAATTAATGTTTTTTCTTACACATGTGTAAACTGGGGCTCAAAAAATTGACTCTTTGGCCCAAGTTATTACAAAGCCAAGTATGAAATCTAGAGGATTTTGTCTATCAATCAGCCTTGCTGTACCCAGGGAGCAACATCTTGTTTCTTGAAGAAAACGAAATAGCGGGTGATGAGTGCTGAGAGCTCAGTCCTGCCTTGCAGTTGTTGGTGCCATTTTCCAGAGCTTTCTGGAGTAAGAGCAGGATCTATAAATCTTACCCTTATCTCATTAAAAGCAACCAAATGTTTGGGACTAGGAGATAGCAGGGCTTGAAATGCTTATTGGTTTCCCTTGGAGTAAACTTGGAGCTGTTGTTGACTGTTCAAAGGGCGCCACATCCAGCTCTCCTGATTGGAAAAACATGGTCAGGGAGAAAATGCCAAGACCCGTAGCTGCCTTCTGTCTCCAGCACCAGCATCAAAACATTTTAAAACTTTAGTCTGAAATTAGGGTTTTAAGGTTTGCATCTCACTGGTGTCAGTAAGAGAGCAACAAATGGACCCACCAGAGCACCTAGCCCTCGCTGTGTTCGTGGGGTTGGCACCGAGGAGCTGGCCCTGCTTGCCTCTGTGTGTGAGGGTGTGAAGCTGTGCTTTTTTACATATTTTAAATACATTTCCTGCCTTGATTCAAAAGCTTCTTACATAGACAGAGGACAGACCTTCTATGTTTAAATAGAAGAAATTACATAGGTTTATACAGTTATTTCTCATTCATTCATTGATATTTGATGACTACTATGGGTCAAGCTTTGTCTGAAACTTGCTATTTGCGCACCTGACTTCTAACAGTGACTTGGAAAATCTCTTTTCAGGGATAAGTAGAGGCCTTAAAAGTGAAATTATGAAACTCAAGAGCTTAAGGACACTTGATGGGCAATGTCTTTCACTTGTGACACACTAGTAACAGACTGGATGCCTTGGTCTTTGGGCTGAATTTAGTGTGCTTGCTGCAGCTGTTAGCAGGCAACTGCTTGTTAAACTGTGAGGTATTTTCCTTTGAAAAGTATTTCAGTCATGCTTGTCATAAGTAGAATTTGGAAGTCATTTTAAGTAGATCCTCTTCCAGACTTGACCTAGAACTCCGGCAACGGAATGGAAAAAGCTCGTGGCCTTTCTACAGATCTCGATTCTTGAAACAAACTGGCCTAAACGGCCGGTTGCTGGAGAGGACTTACAGCAGGGACCTGGTGGCGGGTGCCTGCGAGGCGAAGGCAGTTGTGATGCCCAGGAATGTCAGTTGTGGAACTAGTTTGAGCAGCTTTTGGATAGCTTCATTGTTTGTGCCGCACAGAGCAGGGTGGCTTGGCAATGAGCAGCTTCGCCGTCACCTCCCCAAGCCCAAGTTTCAAGTTACGTTGTCCGTAGACTGCATGAAAATCGCTGTCTGGGAGTTGGTCGTGCAGCAGATGTGAGTGGTGGTGGGCAAACACTTTGCTTCTCACCAGATTGGGGCACACCAGCACAACAGCTTCAACTGCAGTTTTGGCTTGTGCTGTACTTTCTGTATGTTCACAGGAAAGACCCTTAGTGCTCTGTCAGTAGCCGGAACAAGACCTGCATTTTACTCCTTATGTATATAAGAAAGAAGTTGCAATGTCCTGTTGTCAAGGTCTACTTTCTAAATGCTCATTTTAAGGCAAAGCAGAGGGAGCATCCCAGTTTGTGCTGTAAGTATATGCAACTTATTGCATATTATTATAATATTGTATATTAGCGATGAGAGAAAACTGGTCCTTTTATACTATAATACGCTAGAGGACTTCAGAACTTGTAAACATCTTAGCTCAAAGCTTCCTACAACAGGCTGAGCCCTCAGGTGTGGTTAAACCAGAGAACATGTGGACAGTTAATTGTTTAGCATTGTAATTAGATAAAAGTAATATTGTAAGTTTAAAAAATAATCAAATGTTCTAGGCCGTCATCTGAGAACTGCACTCGGTGCAGTGGCTAAACTCTGCTCTTGTTAGTGTTGGTGTAACGGAGGGGAGGATGCCACTTGGCTTGTCAGGGATGCCATGGACAAATGAGATGGACCAAGTGCAGAATGATGCTGTGAACCACTGGAAATGAAAAGCAGAAACACTGGCTTACAAAGGATCACAGGTGTAATTAATTAAAAGTAAAATTAAAAAATTAGAAAACAAGCTTGACAAATCATTATTTCCACATGAACGTGTTACTTTACAGATTCCTTTAGATAAAATATGTGAAGTGTGAAGTTACAGGAATAATATTGACATTATTATAGTGCAGTTTAACTCCTTGTTATGTTCTTTGCACCAAAATTAGACTATAGTGGAGAATCATACTGATACACTGGATTTGCAGTTAGGTAAGGAACTAATTGTCTAGTGTTAAAGCTGAGGTCCATGATTTAGGGATTTTTATTTTTAAGCTGAAATTCCAAATGTTGACTGGCAGTTTTAAGTTTATACACCTCTGCTCAAATCTGTCTGTGTACAGGGTTGTATTCACTTGGTAGTATTGGAAACAACATGGACAGGAGGTGGTTCAGGAAAGCGGCATGTCAAAACCGAGCCAGTTGGGTGAATCTGCAGATGTGAAATTGGAACCCCAATTAAAGGTCACATTTTATGTTTTACAAAAACCTCAGGATTTCAGTGAGTTCCAAGGAAAACTGATGCTTCCAGGGCCCTGGTCTCTGGGTGGCCACGTGGGAAAGTCAGGTTGAAGTAGGCAACAAAAACATTGTTTTCAGGTGGTTCCCATGGTTTGGTGTCTTTGTTAAAAACAAACAAAACCCACTTCTTCAGCGAGGCTCCTTTGGTTATCGATTCAAGGGTGTGTTTCCAAATTGTTTTCTTTTAGCCACCTCACACTTGGTGGCACCCTGCTTTCCCCGGGTATGGGACAAGGCTGGGTGTCTCCCTGCCTGTGCTCCCTGCAACACCCGGGACGCCTTTCTCTGACTCTCTGCTCCCACCGGTGAGCCCCCGCGCAGCTCCGTGGCAGGTGAAAGCCGGACTCGAGCTCCCTGTGTGTTACATGGTTTCTGAGCAAGGAAGTCTTACCATTTCTCTTCTTCAAGCAGTAGCTCATTTTCTCATTTGCTTTTTAAAATCAGAATCAAAATGGGGTTAATTTGCTGTTGGATTGTACTATCTCATTGCTCCTGCGGTTATAACACAGACAAAAATCCAGTGACTTCAGGCCGGTGGGAACAGTAGAGCTGTGCACAAAAGCAACTTATATTAAAAATGCCAACTTTTGCTGCATTCCCTAACACACAAGTTAGCATACGCATGCTAAAGTCCAGGGGTTCAGACAGCCAAATGACAATAGTTCTGCAATAACTCAGACCTCTAAGGCTGCCTTTTTCCATGTCTTTTCTCTCCACAGCCCTCCTGGGCCAGGTGATGATATACAGTTGGCTTCTCCCCTTGATCCTTCTGAGCAACCCTTAGCTGTTTCTGCGACGTATGGAAATGTTGACCCCGTGGATGCTGCTGAGCTGACTGCAGCAAGGTATTGTCCACAGCCATTAAAGCTGGAGTGGTGGGAAGCAGCTGCAAACTGCTTACTGATGTGGGTGGGTGGAGGACCACCGAGGTCAGCGCTAGCTCAGAAATTGCTATCACTCTTCTTGGATGGATGTATGTCTGGTATGGCCGGTTGCTGATGGGTTTGCTGAGTCTGTAGTCAGTGGAGCTGATTCCATCTGTCGGTGGAAATCTTTACCAGAATTTAAATCTCCCTTTATCAAAACCTTCAAAGGAAGATGCCATTTACCAGAGGTTGAATCACTTTGGCACATAGGAGGCTCATACCTTGTGAAGGTGCAATATATGCCTTACATTTATTTAGGTGCTGATATTTTTTTTTTTATTAGTACAAGGTAACTGATCCTTAGGGCATTTTCTTTAATTTTGAGAAGTTCCTTAACAGTATAATGCTGATTATAAAGCATTCAGGTATCTCATCTCTGTTGGACACTGGGCTTTTTGTCTGCTTTCCCTTGCAGTGAGAAGGGAAACTGTTGCTTTATTTGTGCTGGTGGCAGTTGGGTTGTCACGATCTTTGGGCATATGAATTTGTCTTAACTGCCAACAGTAGAGGAAGCCTTGCAGGGTGTGTTTACCCTTCAATCATCGTGAATTCAGTGGAGTGTAAACATAATATATTTAAGCTAGCATTAAATTGGTTAGCTGAAGTAGCAATAATATGCTATCAAAGGTGGAAAGGAGTTTGTGTGGTTTGCTCAATCCACCTTAAAAGCTGGGTGGCTTTGCTGTTTAGCCCGTACTGGTCTTCTATCAGTCTCCAAGCTGGTTAGTTGCTAATGCTGGCTGAGTGAATCTGTGAGAAACAAACTTTTTCCTACAGTCGGGGTAAGATGATCTAGAGAAGCTTACAGTGGGAAGCTAATGATGTGGATTTCTTCCAGTTCTTGTAAGTTTTTACTCAGAGAGTTGTGTTTCTTTGTTTTTAACAAATATAATTGGGTTACTGATGGGTTTTGTGGATTCTGTTTTTTCTTGCTAATGGATTGTTGGCCATAGTAGCAAGGCAGTTAGAAAAGAGTGAGCAGTAAGTGAGGTGGAGCTATGAGCTCCTTTCTGAATGCGGAGGAACAAAAAAAGACTAACACCAAAAGTGCCAGGAAGATTTATATACGGTCTCTGGACTACAGTCTGAAATAGAAGGCTCTGTTGCCCTTGGGGTGATAGTT